AAGACCTTGGTGAAGGCCATTCCTGACATGTTTCACTCCCATTTCCAAATACAGCACCAGAGCCCTCCTCTCTTTCCAGCTGATGAAATTTAGCTGTTGTAAAATGCTAGCTAGCCACGTTTAGCAAATGGAGATAATAAAATAAAAATGAATCTATACTTACTAAGGAAACACAGTTTCCAAAACACAGACTTTGGCTAGAGACTGTGTTTTGCTTAAGAGTCTGCCAAGAGATCTGTGGACTGTTTTGTAAACAGTTCTCAAACTGGTGTTTGTGGGAGAGGCACATGGGAAGGGGATGAGAGACAGATGGACATATGAAATGTATCCCAAAGGAAGTTCATCAGGAAAGAAAATGCTCAAGAGAAGCTTTGATGTGATCTAAAGAACTACAGACAGTGGAAGAAGGTGAATAATGGGGAATTGTTCGTCGTTTTCCATTGTTCCCTGTTACACAAGAGCTGGAAGACAGACCCAACTGCATGTTTGAGACAAACAAAAGGAAGCATTTTTTTCAACATAACAGAGTTAACTGTGGAATTTATTGCTACCAAAGTTAGAATGAGCTATAAAGGAAGTTAGATGAGTTTGTAAAAAATGGGATTACCATGACTGTTTGGCAGAGTGGTTTAGGTGCAATGGAGAGCCCCACCAATCCAAACTCAACGACTGCTGAAGACGAGTTGGTGTCCTGAGGTACCARATAGTGTTCCACACAAGAGAACCCTTCATGTGTATTCTTTCTGATACCCAAACCCTAGGCATCCTACATTCATCACTATTAGATTTAGCATTATGTAGCAGAGTCATAATTTGACCTAATTAGTCATTCTCACATTCCAGAACACAATACATGGATCTTTCAGGGTTCTTTCTGACCTTTCAATAGCTGAAAATCTCATGCAGAGCTTAAAATGGTCCGTTCTTCTACTTCATTCTCTCTACTCTCTTCTTTTGACATAAAGTGTTTCATTCATCTTCAAAAGGGCACAAAAATCAACCCTGCAGACTGCTCAGCCTACCGTTGTTTCCTCAGGAAATCATTCCATGGGTCCTCTTCTCTACCAGTACACTCTACCAGAGTGTAYTTCTGGTACATGAAGGAGAAGGTGCCTGGAGCTCTCCTGGGCTGTATCAGTCAGTAGATTGAGGGAAGAGATCGCCTGCACACCGAACAGAGAACAGCCTGGGCAAACTGCAGTGAGCTCAGCAGAAGCCCCTAGGCTGGGTGGGGGCTGGAGCATTTGCCCTTTGAGGAGAGAGTGAAGGAAGCAGCTTGGTCAGCCTGGAAGAGAGGCAGCTCTGGGAGGATGCAGGAGCAGCCCCCCAGCACCCCTGGGGAGGTTGGCAAGCAGRCACATCTGGGTTCTTCACAGGGGTACATGGCAGGAGAGCAGGAGACAAGAGGCAATTTGAAATGAGACATTCGGCTTATTGAAAGGGAGCACTTTTCCCCCATGAGGCTGTGGAAGAGGCTGTACCATCTCCATCTCTGGAGGTTTCCAGGACCCAAATGGGTAAATCCCTGAGCAACCCAGTCTGGGCTCAGAGGTGACCCTGCTTTGAGCAGGAGGCTGGCCTAGTGACCTTCTGAGGTTCTTGTCATCCTGAATTACGCTATGAGCCRATGGTACTAAGACAGTAGTGACAATAGTGCCTTTCACTCAGTTCTACAGATTTCATTATTTTTTCTGTCCTGGTGATTTTAGATTAATTGCTTTAGTTTTTCAAAGAAATACATTTTGATGTGTGCTTTTATGTGAGCGATGATTACTGTCCTGACTTTTGAGCTATTAAACTTGAAGTCCTACCATGTAGCACTGCCACTATTGAGTTTAATTGCTACTTCCAGTCACAGCAGGGTTTCCTGCTGCTGGAGTTGCCTGCTAAGGCAGGAGGTGCTGTCCTCTGCTTTTGTGAGACAAAGCACAKATCCAGCCATTCAGGGTGATGGACCAGCGCTGAGTGAAGCCGTGGCACCAAGAACCTTCAGCTTCTCAGTCACCCCAAACACCCCTGCTGTGGGGTAGACAGTACAACATATATTTGTTCTGGCACCAAGACCCTCTCCAGGACTCTTTTGGGGAGAGCAGGGATCCTGTGCAAGGGAAGGATGCATCTCCCAATGCCACCTGTCCCTGCCCAGGCTTGAGAGCTATGGACCATCTTTGAATGGCAAACCTCACCCTGGAAAGAAATGCCTACATGAGCTTCCTGCTTCAACTTTCCTATGCAAGTTTTTCTAGAATAGGGAAACAAGTAAGCTTAGGTTATTCACAGGCTGAGAATAAATTACTTCTGTCATTTTGTTCAGGCAATTTTATACTTTTGAATTATATGGAAATAAGTGCAATTAGCTTTCAGACTATTGTTCCTTTCACATATTTCAGTCACCCATTTCCCATTCTTCTTTATAGGGCAGCTAATAGTAGATGTTTTGCTCAGATGGCTTTTAAGAACTGGAATGCACAGAATACAAAATAGTGTTTTCTTTTCCCATTTTTTCCCACTCCTCAGAAGGCTGCCCAGTACACTTTTCATACCATACCTGTATGGTATTTTGCTTCTTTCCTTTCATACTCTTAGAGTTGTATGCATTGGATTAGCTTCTACAAAATACCATTATTTAGCAAACAAACAGTAGACTGTTGCATCACAGATGCAGATTATCAGCATTGTCTTTTGCATTCTTGAGCTTTGTGACTTGGGACACTTTCAAAGTTTTCCTGTTGCACCAACCAACCTGTTAAAGGCTAAAATCAGATACATGCAAGTTTCTATCTTCTTGCACAAAAAATGAGATGCAAGAATTCACAAATTTCCTGATAATTCAGTTTACCAAAACCTACTGTTTAATATATTTTACATATAAAATATATAAAATATATAAAATATATAAAATATATAAAATATATAAAATATATAAAATATATAAAATATAAAAAATCTAATTTTGTTTTTGGATCTTTTTTACGATGTAATGGCTTTGGTCCTTGGACCAAAAAGAGAAAACTTCAAAAGCACAAAAAGCAGAGATGCTTTCTCCCTGTGGAGACCTTGAGCCAGGAACGCAGGGTGGTGCCAGGCAGTGCCCAAGTGACCAGCAGTGTGCCAGCCCCAGACTCAGAGCTACCAAGAAATGTCTACAAATGTCCACAGCTTCCAGATCCTGGGGAGTAACTTTGCCCAGCCACCTTTTGCATTAACCTCTTGTCAGAAATATTAAGAAAAAAGTATCTTCAAAGTAAAGGATTGTGGAAAAATAATTAATTAATGTCATGTCAAAAAATACATTTAACAACAAACTTTGGTTGCATGGGCTTCTTCTTGGGCCAGGGGGAGGATGGGAAAGAAAGATGATTGCAAGATGTTCTAATAAATTAATGTGTTGAAGTTAGAAGAATGGAATTTGGAACAGAATGTGGAATTTGATACCATTGTCATGGAATCCATGGATGTCTTGTCCATAAGAAAAAGCTACTTCACATTTTCCTAAAGTAAATCTGTATTTATTTAGACTAGCATGTCAAAAAACTCTGTTCAATTAGAAAGTCTATAATTTTAGAAGAGAGAGACTGAGAATAATTATTAGTATTTATATTTCAGAGTATGTTCTTCACACTGATCACATGCACATGCAGACCCTGCACAAAGCTCGTGGGGCAGTAGCAGACATCCCAAACTGCTTTATGACACGATACCCAGGCTTGGAAAAGGATCCTTTTGCAAATATGAATGTACATGTTCCAATCCCTTTTTTCCCTCCCTGTCCCCTGAGGCCCTGTGTTGCAGCCAAATGGTGTTTTCCAGTGYGTTTGTTGGCATTCCTTGCCAGATGATTAATTGTGATTTATTGTAGTATGCCTACTGCACTTGTGGGATTCCCAGGTTATTTCTCCTGAGAGAACTAGAGAAGATCCATCTATGCTTCTCTTATGGAAAACCCTAAGAAATATAGCATCATTTGTGCTAGAACGCACAACATAATTTTAATTAAGTTCTTTGGTTTGGACTTTGCAATAACAGGAAGAGAAAGTTACTTTCTTAGGAAGAAATTCTAGTTCCACTGAAGCCATTAAGTATTATTTGTACCACAAAGTTTTTGGGAAATTTTGTGGCACCAGGTAGATCCTTTATATATTACCAAGTCAAGGCCAGAGTTATTATTTGGGCTCTATGAGATTTCTGAATGCATAAAGCTACTTATTTTTTTTTATTTTCTCCTTTGTCTTTAATGCAACAGAGCAGGTTGGTATTCATTCACAGTGAATTTATATTTGGTATTTAATAAATCTCAACATCACTTAGCTTTTTTAAATTACAGAGGTTTATTGTTGGCTCATTTTGTGGTCCTGGTATTAAAGCATCTGTAGCCTCTCATTTCAAACAGTTTTCACAGTAATATGAAAACAGCTCTAGATGTGGTTTAGACATCAGCCAAGACATACCAAAGGGGTGCAATTATCACTTACAATATTAAAGCAAAAAGAGGAGGTACTGAGATAAACAAGTATTCTAGAAAAATCATTGTTCTAAGTTTACTTTTGTTTTTTCCAGAAATACTCCCTAAACAATGAGACTTGCAGAAAAAAAAGTGAGGGATTTTTCGCACAAGATTTATTTAACTTTTGGAGTCACCACTAGTGGATACAAGATACCCCAGACAAAGAGGGATTTAAAATGATTGATGATTCAAGATATATGTCTGTTACAAATAATTTCCAATAAAACCAGATCACACAGAGCTGAATGGCAGTCATTGCCATGCGCCTCTTGCAACCTGCTGTTGTAGCTCACACTGAACTCCAGGTATGTGGAGCATTCAGTTTGYATGGCAATGATTAAACCATCAGGGTCAGAAATGAACAGCAGACAAGATGATGGAGGAAAACCAGCTGAGGCATTAGTGACAGTACCTTTGTATATCAGAAACCAGTACAAATTTTCTGATCACTATACTTCCATAGCTTCTTCAATTAAGACATTCTGTAAGTTATTACCCAGTCCCTTGCTGCGAAGGATCTAGGACATGAAGGAGGCTCATCATTGTTGATTATCTTCTCTGATTTATCCCCACTGCAATGAATCACAAGATTTTCCATCAACTTCACATGTGTAAGAAAAGATTTACGAAAGACAAAGGCTCCAAATCAGTCAATGCAAGCCACAAATAATTTCATTAGGCTCAATTTATTCCATCAGTTTAGTTTAGATAGGGCACAGTGAAAATGTGTCTAAACAGTAATCCAGTCTCAGTATTGCCTTGCATGATGAATCACAGGCTTATGGATTTTAGRCTGGGCACAGATTTTAAATCAACAAATTCTTGATAGGTTAATGGATACCCCTTTTCCTTAATACTTTGCTTCACATGAAGAGTTGCAGTAAAATTGCAGGAGGGATGAGTGATTGTACAGTGTTATTTTGTAAAAATAACAGAGGCTGTGGCATGCTTTATGTAGGTAAGTGTGCTGGGACCTTATTTTGGGTCTATTCTGCTCCCCAYAGCTTGGAAGCGCCATGAAACTACAGAAAACACACACAGAAGAAAACAACTTTAAAAGGTATCTAGTGAGTTACATTACATTAGACAGACAAAACTCAGTTTCTACCGTCTGCCAAAGAGAAGGCTCAGGGGAGACAAGATCACAGAATATAAATACCTTCAAAGGAAGGGGATTATTTGCATTACCAGAATATGACAAAACAAAGAACAGGGGCTTCAAACTAGAGAACACAAAGTGCAGTGGAGTAATTAAGCACTGAATGAAGCATGGTGCCAGCGAAGAAGGGGCCAAGAGGGAGGAACGAGGTCAGAAGAGAAGACTGAAACTGGTAGAGGAGGAGAGGATTACAAACGTAATTAATTAATTCAGTGTTCAGGAAGCTGGGGGATTAGGAGTAGGCAAAATATCCTTCCTCCCTCCACAGAAGAGCTCTGGGTCCTGCTGCACATTGCCCACCAAGGCAAGGCATCTTTGTCTTCAGTGATCTTCTCTGTGCAGCTGCCACTTGTCCAGGACGAACTGACCTCCCAAAGCAGGGCCATCGTGAGCCCGCTCACAGCACCCAATTTCCACCAAATCTCCACCTACTCAGCTGCCCCAAGGGTGAAGATCTCTTGGTTTGATCTGATCATCCCAGAGCTCAGGTTTTGCTATACACTCCTCTTCCATCACYCATAACACACTTTCCATTGAGGTAAAATAGAGCTTTTCCCTTTAACATTCCAGTACATCATGAGAGATAAAGGTCTTTTATTAAAATGTGCTACATTAGTAGTATTTTCTTACCTAATATTTAATAACTTACAATATTTTAAGATTCATGCTATTTCTTTCCCCTTTATGGAGAACTCCAAATATGGAAAAATGAATCTCCATTTTAAAGGAAGGAGGAATCAGGTTTTGAAACAAATAATAAAGACAGAAAAGTCATTGCTTTCGAAATACAAAGAAGAATGCCTAAATCATTGACAATATACAGTCAAAAACATTTCTATGTCCACAAATGCCAYGTATCATTTTCCTGACTGAAGCAATGTCAAAGGTGAAGATGAGTTCATTAACAAAATAATTTTAAAAATWATAAAATGGATTATGCTTATTGGAAAAGTACTATGGTGAAAAAAACAAAATGTCTTCAGAATATCACAAGTAGAACATGCGTTCACACAAGAGAATATACTTTCAGATATATGTCAAAAATGGCCTTTTAGTTTAGGTTTTTTAGTTAAGTCATTGGTTCCAAGGCAGATGTAAGTTTAAAGTGCTGCCATAAAGTAAAATATGCACTTGTGTTTTGGCTAAATAAAGAAAATTTCAGAAGATGGCCAATTATCATAGTCAAGAACTATTTCTGGAAAAGTAGTTCCTGATTAGTCCATATTTTAATCAAGTAAACAGAGGACAACCAATTCTATAAATAATATTGGGGTTTATGTGAGTAAAAATTAGCGGGATGTGATCTTTACAGACTCAGTTGTTTTCAGATTAATTGGAATACATAATGAAAGCAATTACACTCTGATATTTTGGTGCATGTCTCAGTGTATGTTGGAAGGAGTCCAGTAAGTTGTCTGTCTATATCTGATTTGTAGAATAATGATTTATCATTTTAAATTGCTCCTTATGAGCAATAAGACTAGAGTATTTGTATAAATAGTAAATGCCTCTTGATTTTTACCTTTCTGTGCCCCCAGAAAGATATCACTAGGAATAAAATATTAAAAATAACTCCAAGTGATTTTCTAAAAAGATGCTAAAAAGTGAAAATTGGCCAGTTATTCAGCAGGCCCGTGCATAATGCAGCCCACCCAGACCCTTCCCCATGACAGGCTGTGCTTCCCGTGCCCAGGGGAACACAACTGGCACTGTCCTGGCTCGCTGGCTGCACAGCTGGGCTCCAACCCTGCCWGGGCTGCACTCTACAACAGCTCCAACTATGGGCACTGTCAGAGAAGACTACAAAGCTTAATTTTCACTGATTGCCATGAGCATTCTCAGTTTTTGTTACAGTTACATTGAGCTTGGTCTTTTTAACCTGTTCACACTTTTTCCATCTGTCCCATGTACTTTTATTCAGATGATTACTTGTACATGTATTTTTTTTTAATGTCAGATAATAGTGAAGGACACACTTTCTGGTGATTCTTTTTGTCTTAAGATATTTATAAGCAGCATTCAGATGGAAGATGGAACCAAAATTTTAAGAATACACAAAAAGAGCCTGTTAAAATGGCTTCTGCAGGTAAAATAAGTTACCCCTTGTTGCTGTTTCACAAAAAAATGAAGCTTTTAAACTATGTTTTGTATTTAAAACTACATTATTATGCAAAAGAAATATTAATTGTAGCTAGTGAACTAACATATTGCTTCTGTTCACCAGGGGCCTCACTTCCAAAGGTGTTTGCTGCCAGAAAAAGCAGTTCATTACCTTGTGGGATTTCAGAATTACTGCAGTAGGCCAGCTGCTTTTTCTTCATCAAAATCAGTGCCATTAAGATGCTGAGGCAGTTCTAAAAAGTAGCCATACATGCAAGAATATCATCAGAAATGGTTCCAGATATTCTTTTATTTTCAAATTCAACTGATGCTTTTCTTGTCTATTGGGAAGTTTGTAAACTGGAAGACAGAAACTCCTTTTTCTGCTTTTTAAACTCAGTCTATCAACTTTAGATGAAATAACACAAATGAAGAAAATATTGTGTTTGCTACTCAACTAAAAATTGCACTGGAAGTAATTCAGGAAAGCTTCAAGCTATACAGCATGAACTGAAAAAGTTCCAAAGTTTAAAAAAGACAACAAACCACAACACACCAAACAAACCCTCTTTTCTGAAAGACTTATACAATGGGAAGCTTTATTCAATGTGATACATATTATTAGACAAAATGCACTTTTGAACTCATTAACATTTGAGAATAGTAAGAGCAAATTTAGGCCTTAGGACAGACTGTCATTGCTATGAATATAAATAGCATTTTTAAAGAAAAGTGTACTTCTTTTAAACTAAGATCTTTGAATTTAAAGGAAAAAGGATGGCGTTTTTTATGTTGGTAAGCATGAACATAAATTCTGATGTTTACAGATTGTACCTTGAGATTATAAGTATTTTAATCATAAATTATAATCACCACAAATCTGAAATGCACCCAATTCCATACTGTCTTAATAGATGATGTTGTGTAGTTATAGGTACATGGATAGTGACAGCAGCACTACTCCAGGAGCAGCAGCAATTATTGCCTTAAGCAGCACAGGACAGGACCACAGAAACAGTGGGGTAGGCTTTAGTGTCCAGACACACAAGCCACCCAACATAATTTATATAATGTGTTAGGGCTGAGTATAAGTGGTAATAACCTATGTGGATTCATCATGATGACTCAGAGAAACAAGACTACATTATAAATCCCCAGTAATATGTTTTTCTTCAGAGTGGTTGTGGTCTTGCTAAGAAAAATAGTTACCTTTAAAAGTTGTTTCTTTTGCTTGAATTCTTGAAGATAAAGATTACTGAAATGCCATGCAAAGACCTCTAAAAGACTTAAAACTGAAGAGAAAAAGGGGAAAACAAAGGAGATTTTTCTTTTTAACATACAAATTACTTTCTTGTTTTTCTATCATAAAAGCCTTGATACCATCAAAGTTGGGACTATAGGTTTGAGTGGGAAATCTGGACATTCCAAGTGTGTAATAACACAATTTGGAACAGGCCAGACAGGAGTTTTATTAACCATGATCACAGTGAGGGAACATGTGGACAGTATCATCCTCACTGCTCCCCTATGCTCTGCTAAGTGACTGCTGCCTGCAATTGCTGTGATATTGGCTGTGTCAGGGAATTAAAAAAAAAAAAAATTAAGAGGTGAGAGAAAGCAGTCATTTTGATGTTAACAAATTCAGGTATCTATCTCCAACAAAGACTGACTTCTTCAGTAGCTTGCCTAGCTGCCACAGCTCCAAGCAGGACTCACACAGTAAATAAGGATGTGGAGCCTGTGTTATCAGGCATACTCTGTATCACCTTCAATTAGCAGTGGGGCAGGGAAAAAAAAAAGACTGCAAGCTCCTACCTGAAAGGACTGTTCTTCACTTAGGATAAACTTCTTAGCCAGAACTCTCAAATCTTAAATATCAATAATTTTCCCAGCACGCTGGTAAAATATGACTCAGGATGTTGACTCTTATGGTGCATCCAATCAATTCTGCATTATCAATCATTAAAGTCTGGCTTTTCTGCTGTGTCCTGACACATGGAGTTAGGGGATGACTGTGCTCATAGTGCAAATTTGTTTTCTGCAATATGCTGGTGAAATCTTCCCAGTCACAAGAAATTCACTAGGTCATGTCTAGCATGTGTRAGGAAAAACACCTCCTTGCTGATGCTCTTCCTATCCCCCTCCCAAACACACAGATCAAATATTCTGAGCAATACCACAATACAGAACAATGTCTTCCATGCTGTATTTTCCAGCTTTTATAGACAGCTGTTGTAATGGAGGCTGACTGTGAAACAAACAGGTAAAAAATCACTGACAAGTCCCAAAGATGTAAAAATATGCCCCATTTTA